TAAACTTCAAAAAAGGGTGGGTGAGTCCAGCCAGGGTGGCTCAGTGGTTGAGCGTCAACCTATGAACCAGGAGTTCATGGTTTGATTCCCAGTCAGGGCACATGCCCAGGTTGCGGGCTCCATCCCCAGTAGGAGGTGTGCAGGAGGCAGTCGATCAATGATTCTCTCTCATCGTTGATGTTCCTCTGTCCCTTCCTCTCTGAAATCAATTTTTTAAAAAGGATATGTGTGTGTTTGGGGGGAGGAGGGTACTTGTGCTCCAGAGCTTTGTCTGTGCCTGTTCTCGAGAGACACGGTTCTAAGACTCAATTCAGACAGGATATTGAGATGTGCCGACTTTCCCTGGGGTCTGAGAGGGCCCTGCCTCTCATGGCATTCCATGCTGTGAATGTCAGCATTTGAGCCTACAACTGGAAAACAAAACTGCATTTAAATGCGACAGGCTTGTTTGTCAATTTAGGGTAGAATTCAGTGTTCTGCACAGTATGGCAAGATCAAAGGCATCCCCCCCTCCCTCCCCTGAGATCCCCAGTGAATCACTTCGCCTGTCCCGACATCTGTGGGATAAAGGGGTTCTGCGGTGGGTCTCTCTCCTGTCTCCGGCTCTCTAATGACTCTGAGAGAAGTTCTGGGGACACACAAATAGCTGCCTTCACTTTAAAGGTTAGAGGGGATCAAGCGGAGCCCAGTCAGGTGTATGAAGGCCGGCGGTCTCTGGCGGTGGCTTAGTGCGCTTCTGCTGACTAATCCGAGCTGGATGCTGCGGAAATGCCAGGCTCGATGCGGGATGCTGCTGCACGGGGCATTCCTTCTGCCTCTTAAACAACTTCACTCTGCAGAGAACAAGTCTGTGTCACCGCCTAATGGCTCTTGTCATTTTAGTGTAGTGATGAGAGAGGAAAAATGGAAGTACTTTATGTGGAGGAAATAAAAGATAAAATCTGAAGGTATTTCTTAACCCAGAGTGCAAGGCTGTCTGGAGTACAATGCAGATCTATCAATAATTCAGTTAAAACTGTTTACCTACTTTACATGACTGGGTTCAGTTCACTGATCTCCATTCAAGTTCACGCTCAAGTTATTTAACTGCGGGCTGCACGTTACACCACACAGACCAAAGCGTTATAGATTTTTCCAAGTGTAATATACAAGTCCAAATTGATTGGAGCCAAATGTAAAGTTAGTCAAATCTTTAATATGCTCTATTAAGGCGTGAATAACACTTTAAAGCTTTGTCTCAGCCCCAGAGTTGCTGGGACTGGAGCTGAACCAGTTGCAAACAGCCAGAATAACACCACCTTTGGATGTGGTGTTTATTCTCAACGATGTGTCATGTGAAATAATGAGCTCTTTTTCAAATGTAAAAGTGAGCAATCACCTGCCCTTATAAAATGACACATTTTACAAGGATGCTGGCTTGGTCGCCCTCTGTGACATCGCCCACGGGCACACACCTCTCATCTGTTGTTGGCTGTAACTATAAGCTCAATGCTCCATTTTTCCAGAACAAAATTCTCTCTCCCACACAGCGGGGAAGACACCAGCCACTTTCCCCACCTCTCATGAGGTAGAGGAAGTATATCCCAACATCCTTGCCAGGGATTTGGCACAATCTGTGCTATTCCAAAGTGACTAGGCAAGTTTTAGAAAGAGCGATGCAAAATAGAAATGTGTGCTTTCATTATTCTTTAGGCTTTAGATAATTTGTAGCCCCCTTATATAGAAGGCTTTATGCAAAAGGATGGGTAAAACGTGTCTACACCATGGCTGAGGATCAACCTGGGTTGCATGGTCAGAACCTGAGGAAGATAAATTCAGGCCAGGGGTGTCCTTGGTTTGACAGGACTGTCTGGGTATGTGGCTGGGAAGGGGGCAGGTGGGGAAATGGGAACAGGAGGAAATAGGGAGCCCTGCTATTTTGAGGCGGGGGGGCTACGAAGGCTATTTAACCTGTGCTGTAGCCACCAGCCACCTCTTGCTGGTCCTAAATGAAATATGCTGTAAACAGAGAAGCCACACTGGATTTCGAAGACTTAGGTTGATTACACGTTGAAAGTACATGTGAAATGAAAATGTTTGGGTGGATTGGATTACAGAGGCTGTTATTAGATTGATTTCCCCTGTCTCTTTTTGTTTTTTAATGTGGCTACTTGGAATTTTAAAATCCCATGTGGGTTATGTTATATTTCTAGTGGACAGTGCTGCTTTACATCCACTTTGCATGGTAGAATTATGGCTCATGCTCATTTCCCCGTGTTGTCTATATTTTTCAAACTGGAAATCTGAGAAACAGACAATATTATGTCCAAGTACTTATCTTGGATTTTGAAGTTCGGCAAGCACATGTCCTAGCTAACCTTGTCTGAGACTCACCTGCATCTGTAAGGTGAAGATGATAACAATCTTCATCTTACCAGGTTGTTATCAGAAGCGAGGAAGGCATAGGAAATTAGCAGAGAATGCTCAGCGCAGAACCTGACACAGGGAAAACCCACCGAAATGTGGCATTATTCTTACTTATAGCCCAAGACCTGTTGGATGCCTGATCTGGAATCCCGGTCCATGTCTAACTCAGCTCCTTGGCTCTTGTCCATGTTTGTATTTGGTGTCACATCTACCTACTTCTACAGCCAGGAAGGTGAGATTTCCCTTCTTTTCCTCATCATTGAAGCACCTCAGGCCTGGTTCCCTATGTTCTGCTACTTTTTCAGACTAAGGTATTTCTCACTTACCTACTTTAGCTCATTTCGATTTCAGAGCAAGAGTTCTCTCCTGGCTACAACTATAAACCAGGCCACAACTCTTTGTCGACCCCTACCCCCTGCGTCATACCCGGTGCCGGGGTCTTGTTTTTTACTGACTCTGCTTCTTTTGATGGGAAGATCAATCAGGACATTTGGTGCCAGGTGAAGGGGGCAAAGGTAACAGAAGAACAGGGTCATGCAAATAAGAGATGAATGGGACAGGAGCAGGCAGAGCAGAACACCGCTTTGATGCCTTCTCCCCACCCACCCACAGCCCTGCCTTCTTTTCTCACTTTCTTCCACCGGCTTTAAAAACTGTGCTATGTTCACGCTGTTGAAAGTACAAGGCAGTTTCTTATCGCCTTTCCCGGTTCTTACCGCCTGACGTACAGCCTCCTACGGTGTAGCACAGCACTGATCTAACCCTGTGCTTGATTTCCATTCTAGGAAATAAGTCCTCAGACGAAGACAGCTGTACTTGTTCTCTGAAAGTCAGTGGCAGGGAAGAGAGAAAGTTAAAACTTTGTGAAGACAGAGCTTCCCTAGGTGTGGCGAGGCCTAGCTCTCTCACAGTTAATGAGAGGATCCTTTCAGTCAGAGCTGCATGAGATCAAAACGAGGAGAAATGACTTAAAAACCAGATGGAATAGCACAGGGGGCTGGGAACGCCTGTGCTTCTGAAATCAGTGCAAAAAAAGCCCCCAATTTCCTCCAAAAGTTTTTTTTAAAATCAGAAAAATGTTGATTTGTGTTCCCATCCAGCTGCTGTAACTAGGTGATTCAGAATACACCCTTGACTTAAGATGATCTCTTTTGCCTTTTCATCATATCGATATGTGACTTTGCCTGCTTTATTTTTAGATTTACTGAGTGTTTTCAAGGTAGCAAATCCAAAGTAAGGAAATAAGAAAATTGGGTTGTATTTCAAGCTTGGGCTGAGATTTGACTGGAGAAACCCTTGGAAATTAACAGGGAGCAGAGTTCCTACGTTCTCTTTGCTAACAGCTGGGATTTGTGGAGGGTTTGTAATTGGGGGGAGACTGGGTTATTTCAGTGCCAGAGAATACACCTACAGCCACTCTGCCACCAGGCAAGGGATGCTAAGGCGAGAGCGTGCAGGAGGGCCCACCCTGGATGGGTAAACATGGCCATTTTTCCTGGAGCATTAATTAGTGAAATATTTACCGTTGGTCAGAGGCAGGAAGGGACCATTGCCAACAATCACTTTCCTGTGGGGTGCTAGAAAATCAGAAGGTTTGTAAAATGTGAATTTTCCCTTATTATATTATTTAAATTTAAGAGCGGGATGAAGCATTTCTGGAGATCCAAAACACAGCTTTAGGATATCAGCTCTGCTCACTTACCTTCTGGTCCCGTGCCCACCCTCCCACCTCACCTGCTGCTGCTTTCTGATCTGACATCTCTTGCTTGTTTTTTTTTTCTTTGAGGGGGGTGGGCACTGTGGAATAAATGCTCATGAAACTTGCGATATCAGTGGACTGTGGCCCAACCGAATCTTTCTCTGGCAGAGGTCACAGAAATAGCGATGATTGTGTAAGTTGGAATGCAGACATGTGGGCACCCAGACATATGTCCAGGCGGTCAGCTTCCGCTCGGTGCCACACGGCAATGAACATCTACTGGCTGAGCGTGAGGGAAGTTTTTATAGTTTCCATTGTGTTTGGATAATTGTTTCTTTTTAAATATTTTTAAATACGACAATCGCTGTTGCAGATCTGAGCATTATAATTACAGGTGTGCAAACCTAATGTATATAAAAAATTTCTCAGTGGCAGTGTCACTAAAAATGCTTCTTTGTGACCATTTCCATTTGGAAGATGTCATTGGGTCTTCTTTAAAATGCAAATGTTTCATCTGATGTGGCTATACTGTATACATCGATTTTTTTTTTAAAAAAAGACATAACTAGATTAAAGGACTACATATTTAAAAAAAGACATAACTAGATTAAAGGACTACATAAAATGCTTTCTGGACACACAAACAATTTTTAAATTAACAGGCATTAACAGGTATCGATAAACTGTCTAAAGCATTTAATGGTCTTTAATACAGTCAACTCCCCCAGCCCTGAAACGATGGGACTTTTTTTTTTTTTTGCGGAAGCTGTCAAACGCAACATTGGAAAACGAGTCCCGTTTCCGGGCCGGTGAGCAGAGCACGGAGGGGTAAAAACTTGATGGCTGTGTTGTTCTCATGCTGTGTTTCTGTCTCTCCCCCCACCTGCCTGCTCAGGGCTGATCGTTTTGACCTTGGCCATCTGCTGGATGCCCAACCAGGTCCGGAGAATCATGGCTGCCGCCCGACCCAAGCACGACTGGACCCGGTCCTACTTCCAGGCGTACATGACCCTGCTCCCGTTCTCCGACACCTTCTTCTACCTGAGCTCGGTCATCAACCCGCTGCTGTACAACGTGTCCTCGCGGCAGTTCCGCGCCGTGTTCTGGCAGGTGCTGCGCTGCCGCCTGACCCTGCAGCACGCCAACCAGGAGCGCCGCCTGCGGAGCCTGGCCGCCTCCTCCTCTGCCTCGCCCACCGACAGCGCCCGCTCGCGCCGCCCGCTCCTCCGCCTCGCTTCCTGGCGCGGTTCCTCCACCAGGACCCCGCGCCAGGTTTTCCTAAGCACGTTTCAGAGCAATGCCGAGGCCAAGCCCGAGCCGGAGGCCGAGGCCCAGCCATCGAGTCCCGAGTCGCCAGAGCCCCAGTGGGAGACGAAACCAGCCAGTCCTGCAGCCGAGAATGGTGTTCAGGAGCATGAAGTGTGAAGGTCAGGTTAGCAAGCCTGGAGCGCTAACCAGCCCGGCCGGTGACAGCAGCATTCCCCGCACACGCACAGCTGTGAAAACCACCTGCTCCCGCGCCTGGGACAGGAGGGGGAGCCAGGGGCCTTGGGGAGGCAGATGCCCCTTCAGGTCTCCTAAGGCTGATTCTGCCGCCTTGACTCTGGTTACAGACGGGGACCTGCCATCCCCTCCCTTCTTCTAAGTACACACTGAAAGTTCAGTCCGACTGAATTTATTCAGAGCTTACAAAAATGTTTTACGCTGAGCTCTTTCATTATTTGCAAAGGAACTAAAGGAAAGAGAACGCGGGCTCCCTACCCAGAATCAAAGCATGCCCAGAGAGCCACGGGCCGGAGCGGGAGCCAGAAGGACGATGCGGCGGGCGCGCTCTCATTCAGCAGCGCGCCAGGAAGAGGCCTACTTTGAGGAGCAGGATGGTGGCGGGCAGCCCTGGCCGGAGGGTGGAGGCCGAGCTGCTCCTCTTCTTGGGCCGCGGCCCGTTGCACAGAGGGGTGTTACAGCAGCTGATGCACACCGAGTTCAGCTTCCCGGGGGAGCAGAAGGACTGGTACCCGGCCGAGGCGATGAGGCAGGCTGCGGAGGAGGCACACGACTTGCGATACATGATCCCTGCAACATGCGCAAAGGAGCTGGGTTAACCTGTGCTGGCAGCGGGCGGAGCCCAGCTCCCAGGGTGTCCTTCCTCCCCCTCCCAGCCCAGAGCCCGGGTGGGGCAGGGGGGGCGCTTTGGGTTGTGTTGCTGAGCCTCCCCAATACACGAGGTGCACGGGGAAGAAGGCAGTCCTCATTGCACCATTTGGACAGGATTGTTCCAAAAGCGATCTGAGATGCACTGCCAGCGAATAAAGAGCTGTCAAACCAAAGTCCACCTTTTTAAAAGGCAGAATTCACACTGTGTACTAGATACAGAGCTTTTTACCTTGTTGCTGCTCAAACTATTTCATGCTAGAGAGGACCACAAGCTGTTTGTCTAGATCTCACCTCTATTATCACTTTATCAGCGACACAGAGAGATGGCTCTCCACCATGTTTTTATTAAATCATGGAATGTTCTCAATAAAGACCAAGTCCCTAGTGAAGGGGCCCTGATTTCTCCATGTGTGCGGAACAGCCTTGTTCTCAGGGAAGAGGCCTGCCCGTAGAACACATGGTCATTTGCCCAGCGAGCATCTCACAGCTAGCACTTAGCATGCACCGTGTGGGGGCACAGACTGGTGGCCTCACCTTGAGGACAGGTGTCATGTCCACATTGCAGCACAGCGTTCCAATTAGGGTGTCTTGGACCATCCTATGACTTCCTAAAGCTGGAAGTACATCAATTCTGATGCTAACAGCTCAGCTTATGTATGTGCTTTCCTGCCTGCCAGGCACTCTCCAGAGAGCTGTGGCGTCCTGTATCCTTCACTACGTTCCGGGGAGGCCCCCATGGTCATCCCCATTTTACAGTTGGGGTGCCTTAGGCAAGAGAGGGTTAGCTGACTGGCCCAAAGTCACACAACTAAAATGTATTTGCACCTAGTATTCTGGCTCTATGCCATCAAGTCTATATTACTGTCTATATAGCAAAGCAGATAGCCAATAAACCACAGAATGGTTTTGTTTTCTTTATGGGCGGGGGGGAGGAGACTGCTTTACTCTGAAGATAGCTTTTGGGGTGTGTGTGGCTCTTTTGTATCATTAAGTTTTTTATTGAGACATAATTGACAAAATTATCCTTTCTGGTCAGATAACTTGTAATGCTAAAGTTCGTCCTGGAAGTGAATGGCCTTACCTCTTTGCTGCCCTGCACAGCAGCAGATACATTCCGGCAGTGGCCAGGGAGTTCCTCTGACCCCCGTAGGTGTGTGTTTGCCGGTGTTTCTTTGAGGCTCCCTTCCCCTCCCCCCGCCTCCCGCTGAGAATGGCTGCTTTAGGTGCAGGAGAAACAGTAAAGACAAACTGCCCAAAACTTCCAAGAAGGAGGTAAAGAAGTGCCTCAGATTTACATTAAGACACAGTTTTGTCATTTTTTTCTATATACATCTGTAAGGATTGCTTTTTTAACACCATTAGAAAATCCTGGAAGTAGCTGCTCTGGTAAGATAATGCCCGTGGACAAAGGATATGTGCGGGAGCAGGGGGAGAGAAGAGGGACTGTTTAATTTCTAAGGAACATGCTATGTAGTCTCTACATTTTCTATCTATTGCCCATGGTAGGGAATTAAGTTTTGCTCACTATCTTTTTATTCTTAAATATTAAAAACACTATTATTTGCCAGTTCAACTTTAGAAAATTTTTTCCTTTAAGTAAATATTAAAAGTTCAAAAATACTTACTGAATATAATTTCCACTGTGAAAAACATTCATTCAGACATTCAGATAAGGTGACCACCACTTCCAATCCCAGGTTCTCCTCAGAGGTAAGCACTCTTATCAGTTTCAGACGCTTCCTTCCAGGCCTATTTCTATGCATTTACATATATGCCCATGGAGAAATAAAGTGTGTGTGCGCACACGCATTTGTGAACAGCATCGCATCCTATATGCTGTTCTATAATTTGCATCTTTACTTAGTGACATGGCTGAGGATTTGTTTTTAAGCCTAACTTTGTAGGGCTCAGCATCAGGGATGAGGTAGGTTAGTTATATAATGCATGAGGGGAGCCTTGAATTTTGCAACTGCCACCAGCGGATACCTCCAGTTTCTTGGCTCTGGTGGCCATTGGGGCTTAACACTGTGGTCCCACAGGGCTGTATATTTTTAAAGCTACTTAAAGGAATGGCTCCCACTCAGTCTGACTCTAGGTGCTGACTGAGCTCCTCCTCATTGGGATACTGGCTGGTTGTGGCACATCCTACACCACTGGGAGCGTTTAAAAACAGGTGGCTTGGGCAATCACCAGGTGCCGGAGACAGTCAAGAGCTAGGGTAGGTCTGAGTGATAAGCAGGTTTGAGTGATAAGGTTCATCTCTTACACAAGGCCAAGCATTTGAGACCGGAAGAGGGGGCTTTTTGATCTAATCCCTAGAAACTAGCACAGAGACTCAAGAAATGAAGAAACAAAAGGTAAAACTTCAGAAAATAAAACCTTAATGAGATGAAGATAAATCATTTACCTGATAAAGAATTCAAAGTAATGGTCATAAAACGGTTTACTGAACTAAATAGTAGAATGGGTGAATACAGTTAGAATTTCAACAAAGAGACAGAAAATAGAAAGTACCAAAGAGAAATTACAGAAGAGATGAATACAGTAACTGGACGGAAAAATACACCAAAGGGTTCATCAGCAGACTAGATAAAGCAGTAGGGTCCGTCAACTCAAAGACAGGGCAGTGGAACTCATCCAATCAATGCAGCCAAAAGAAATAGAATGAAAAAAAGTTAAGATATCTTAAAGGACAACATCAAGTGGACTAGCATTCACATTATAGGAGTTCCAGAAGATAAGAGAGGAAGAGGCAGAAAATTTACTTGAACAAGTACTGACCAAAAACTTCCCTAACCTGGGGAAGGAAACAGACATACAGACCTAGGAAAAGCAGAGTTCCAAATGAGAAGTACCCAAAGAGACACAGACCGAGACTTGTTACAATTAAAAAGTTTAAGACATCGAGAGAAGCTTAATAGTAGAAAGAGAAAAACTTATGTACAAGGGAACCCCATGAAGCTACCGGATTTTTCAGCAGAAATTTTCCAGGCCAGAAGAGAGTGGCAGAATAACTTAACAGTGCTAAAAGAAAACATTCCAACCAAGAATACCCTACCTGGCAAAGTTATTAGAACTAAAAGAGTGATAAAGATTTTTTTAAAAATACTTTTCCAGACAAGTAAAAGCTAAAGGAGTTCATCACTACTAAACCATAATTACAAGAAATGTTAAAGGGACTTTCATAAGCTGAAGGAACGGATGCTAATTAATAACAAGAAGACATGTGAAAGTATAAATCCATTGCTAAAGGTAAATATAAAGTTAGTGTAGTAATCACTTAAAAGCAAAGGTAGTATGAAGGTTAAAAGACAGATGTTGTTACAATAACTACAATAATTAGTTAAGGCATACATCAGATAAAAAATGTAAAATGTAATAACAAAAACATGAAATGTGGGGAGGAGAATAAAAATGCAGAGCTTTATGATGCATTCAGGCTTAAATTATGACCAACTTAAAATACAGAATCAAGAAAAATGAAGAAACAAAAAAAAACTTTAGAAAATAAAACCTGAATGAGATGAAGATGAATCATTTATCTGATAAATATAAATTGTGTGTAAGCCTCATGCTAACCACAAAGCAAAAACCATATAGAGATAAAAAAAAGATAATGAGAAAGGAATCTAAGCATACCACTAAAGAAAGTCATCAAACCACAAAGGAAGAGAGCAAGGAAATTAAAAAAAGGGCCAGAACTACAAAAAAGACAGAAAATAATTAACAAAATGACAATAAGTATATACCTATCAATAATTACTTTAAATATACATGAACTAAATTATCTAATCAACAGACAAAGTGGCTAAATGGATTAAAAAAAAACACAGAAAAATAAGATCCATCCCATATGCTTCGTACAAAAAGCTCACTTCAGATGCAAGGACACATATGGATTATGAAGGGGTGGGATAAAATAGTCCATGCAAATGGAAGCCCAAAGCAAGCTGGGGTAGCTATGGTTATATCAGACAAAATGAACTTTAAAACAAAGACTGAAATAAGAGGCCAAGATTGTGTATCATTAGATAATGGTAAAGGATCAATCCAACAAGAGAATATAACATTTGCAAATATTTATGTACCCAATATAGGAGCAGCTAAATATATAAAGCAAATATTAATAGAGCAAAAGGGAGAAATGGACAGCAATACAATCATAGTAGGGGACTTTAATATACCACTTGCATGAATGGATATATCATCCAGACAGAAAATCAATAAGGAAACATTGGCCTTAAAAGGCACATTAGACAACATGGACTATATATGTACACACACACACAGAGTCAAGAAAATCATCCAAAAGCAAGAGAATACACATTTTTCTCAAGTATACATGCAATATTTTCCAGCATAGATCATATGTTAGGACACAAAATGAATCTTAAAAAATGTAAGATTAAAATCATATTAAGCATGTTTTCTGACCAAATGGTACAAAACTAGAAATCAGTTACAAGAAAACTGGCAAATTCACAAATAGGTGAGAATGAAACAACATACTATTAAACCATTAGGTCAAAAAAGAAAACAAAGGAAAAATAAAAAAACAATCTTGAGGCAAATGGAAGTGAGACAGCATACCATAATCTAAGGGATATAGCAAAAGTAGTTCTAGGAGTGAAGTTCATAGAGATAAATGCCTATCTCAAGAAACAAGAAAAATCTCAATTTAACATTACACATCAGAGAACTACAAAAAGAAAAAAATTAAGCCCAAAGTTCTTCCAAGGTAGGAAATATCAGAGCGGAAATAAATGAACTACAAACTAAAAATATCAATGAAACCAAGAGTTGGTTCTTTAAAAATAGAAACAAAGTTGACAAACCTTTAGTTAGGCTCCCCAAGAAAAAGTGAGGAAACAAAATCAGGAATGAAAAAAGAAGACCTAAAATGGATGCCACAGAAATAC